GGACGAATACAGAAAGGAGGTTCGGGGGGTGGGTGGGCGCCACCCCGGCTTGGGGAGGGGGGCCGTGGTCCCCCCACCACGCCCCGGCCGGCAGCCCCAGCGGCAGCCCCTGGTGCAGCATGAGGACGTTCTGCATGTGCTTCTCTGAGGTCATGTGGATGCGCAGGTTGCGGGAGATGTTGGTCTCGTAGCTGCACACCTTGCACTGCCAGGACGATTTGGTCTTGGGCTCCTTGTCCCCCGCGGAGGGTGGGAGCGCTGCCTCTGGGGGGCTCCCCTGCCCGCCGGGCCCCGCCTGGAAGCCCTGCAGGTTGGCCAGGTGCTTGTCGGACTGCATGTGGATGCTGAGGTTGCCCTTGGTGGTGGTGGAGTAGTTGCAGACGTCGCAGCGGTAGGGCTTGTAGCCGCAGTTGTAGCTCTCTCCCCGGGCAAGGCGGGGGTGGGCCCCCCCGGCACTGCAGTAGCTGCAGTGACTGTTGCTTTCGGGGTGCTTCTCCCGCATGTGCACGTCCAGGGTCTGCTGGTACTTGTAGTGCCAGTTGCACTTGGGACACTTGAGCGTCTTGCAGGAGTTGCGTGAGTGTAGCAGAGACATGTGGCTGGACAGACTGAGGCCCTGGAAGGTTGCCGGGGCAGGGGTATAGTCGTCAGCTAGGCGATAGGGCTGGGGTGGGTCACTGGGGTCTTCGGGGGAGCCCACAGGGGCAGGGAGAGTGCCCCCCTCCTTGGAGGTGGGTGAGCTTTGGTTGAGTGGGGGGCAGAGCCCCTCATCCTCCTCTTGCCCCTCGGGGAACCAATCCGGCCCTGCCTCGCCTGCCGCCGTTGGCGATTCTTTGGCTTGGGTTGGGCTGGGGTCCCAGGTGGCCGGGGTGGTTGGAGGGGAGGGTGGGCTGAGGGCCATGACTTCTTCCACGGGCAGGACAGGGGCCTGGGCTTCTGCCTCAGGGGGACCATCTTCGGTCTGGGCTGCATTCGCCTCCATGTTCCCGGTGCCACTGTTGTTAAGGGGTATCTCTAAAGGGGGGCGAGCAGGCGCTTTTGGTTCCAGAAAGCTTAGGAGGGCCACGTAGCCCTCACCCCCCTGCTGGAGCACGGCTGGATTGCCCAGCAGGCCCTGGTGTTGAGCGGGGGTTAGCGTCACCCCATGAGACTGCATGTGACCCACAAAGGCCTGGGGCCTGCTGAAACCCAGGCGGCACAGGAGGCAGAGCCAGAAGAGTGCCCTGGGGTCTCCTCCCTTGCTCCCCATGGGGCCATCTTTGGGATCTCCGGGTGGGTGTGGAGCCAGCTGGTAGCTCCAGAAGGCTCCATCCCTTCCCTCACAAGTGGCCGGAGATGGCGCTGAGGTATCGTGGGACAGAATTTGGTCAGAAGAGCTAAAGCCTTGGACTGGGTCAAAGCCATGTTGGATGTGAAGGGCAGTGAGGTGTGCAGGGGGCGGGTGGGCAAGGAGGGGTGGGCTGGGCTCTTCCTTGACGCCTGCCTCAGCCCAGGGGAAGCCCTTTGGTAACAGGAGTTCACTGCCACCTGGCAGGGACAGCTTGGCCACTAGGCAGGCCTCACCGCCAGCTGTGAAGAATAAGTGGTCACTGAGGTTCACAGGAGGGAGCCCTCCTCCTTCCTCCTCCTGCTCCTTGTCCTCTTCCACCCCCAGGTCCTTCGATGGGAAGCCCCCACAGCCAGGCTCTTCTAGGGGCTCCCCTATCTCCTTTGGTGGGATGAGGCCACAGCCTGACTCCAGGGGCTGCCCCCCTGGCTCTGAGGACCTCATGTTCTCAGAGGTGGAGGGAGCAGCAGGGGGATCTTTGGTGACAGGATCAGAGGGGGTGCTGGGGGAGGAGGTGTCCGGAGGCGGGGACGGGGCATTGTGCCCAGGGGACGGGGCGGTGCTGGCGGTCGAGGATGCGTTAAGGGTGGCCATGGCAGACGGAGGAGAGCTGGGGGTTCATTTCAGCGTGACAGCCAGGACCCTATGGGAAAACACGGAGAGACTGGCGCTGTGAGGTGGCAGGGGAGACACCCGGTCAGGCAGTTGATTCTCTGGATACTCCAGCCCCTCTTCTCCTGAGCACCTGATTCAAGTACCCATTTGCCAACTTGAAGCTTCCTTAGTGTCTAACAGACTTCAAACTCAACAAGTCCAAAATCAGAACTCTACTTCTCCTCTGAACTTGCTCCTCCCCATCTTCTGTCTCAAAATTTGGTACCACCATTGATCTGGTTGCTGAGTCTAAAAACCCAAGTTTCCTTTTGCCCCCACCCATAGGCAATTCGACAGCAACCTCTCAAGCGAGCATCTCACCCATCTGTTTATTCTCATCTCCACCAGCACAGCCGTGGCCCAAACCATTACCATCTCTTTCCTGAACTAGTGCAACAGACTCCACGTTGGCCTCCGTTTCTACTACTGCCCCTCTGTCCACCCAGAATGATCTTGCATTTAATTCTCAATTATGAAAAATGCCAAACATACATAAAAGTAGACCCAACAATATAAGGAACCCCTTTGTTACTTATCATACAGCTTCAACAGTCCCCAAACTCATGGTCAGTCTTGTTTCATCTGTATCCTCACCACTTCCCCTTTTCCTGTATTGTTTAAAAGCGAATTTCGGGCATCGTAAAGAATCACCTTTCAAAATGTAAATCACACAATATGCTGCTTAGAACCCGTTAATGATTTCTCAGTGCTATGTGAATAAAACCCAAACTCCGCTCCCTGATCTACAAAGAGGCCCTTCTGGTCTGGCACCTGCCTGCTTCCCACACATCTTTAATACTCTCCATCCCACCTGGCAGGCTAGCTCCAGCCCCCTGGCCTTTTTTGTTCCTCAAACACACCAAGGTCATTCCCACCCTAGCAGCTTGCCTGAGCTGTTGACTCTGCCTGGAGTGCCCTTCCTCCAGACTTCTGCCTGGCAGCTCCTGGTCATTCAGGTGTCTGCTTAAACAGTACCTCTTTCAAGAGGCCTTCCCTCTCTTTCGAGGCTTACAAAGCTCAGGGGGTATTTTCTTCAGAGATTTATCACTGCCTGGTATTTCCTGTTTCCTTATTTCTCCCTACCAGGAGGTAAGTTCCAATGAGAGCAGAAAGTCTGCTTTATTAGTTGTTCTCTCATTAGTACCGAGAAAGATGCCTGCCACACATGTCTGTTGGATGAATGATCTCTGGGAAAGACCCTCACTGTGAAGGGATAATTTCCCTAAATCAAGGTCCTCTTGCCAGAGGCCGCAGTGAATTTCCTTTGGCCTGCAGGCATCATGCTACTCTCAGGTGCCTTCCAGATCCATCTCTGGTCACAGGTGGGAACTTCTTGGCCAACTGAGACAGCGGCTTATACGAGATTAGCTGCCTCCTCCCCCCAGAGATTAAAAAAAACCCCAATAATATTACTAATAGCTATTAAGGTACATATACCATGGTCCCGGTGTTGTGAAATGCTTTAATCAATTATCTCATTTAATCTTACAATAACCTTATTTTATAGGTGAGGCAGCCAAGAAACAGAGATGCTGAATGAACTGCTGATTGTCACACAGCTCCCAGGTGGTGAAACTAGAAAAGGCCTGGAGGGGCACAGAGCTAGACCCCAAAGCTACGGCCTGGGTTCCTCCATCCACCTGGACTGCCCCTCAGACACAGGACAGGCAAAATGAGCCTCCAAAGGTCTAGAAATCAGGATTCCTGAGCTCCCTCCAGCTGGCTGGAATTACCAACCCTCTGATGCTGCTCCCAACCTTTTCATCTCAGTTCCCCACTCAAACTCACCAGTTCCCCACGCCTCACCATCCCATACTTCTCAGTGTCCCAAGTGGCCTACCTCCTCTTCGGTTCTTAATATCAGCAGGTATCAAATGGTTGAACCCTTAGCGCTCAGGTTGGCGTGCTTCTGGGAAGTGGTGTGGCCTGGCCCTCACCTTCAGATCCCTTGTTTTATAATGGGTCCTCGGTCTGGCCCCATTCAGCCTGCAGGCTCCCATTCCCACTTCCCTCCTCCTCCTGGGGGGCCAGCCAGGCGTGAAGTCGAAGTGGGAGCCATTAAGGAGCTCCGTGTGGGGCTGGATCCGCATGCTAATGAAAATGCTAATCAGCACCTGGGCAAAGGGTGGCGGGGCTGGGGTGGGGGGGTGCGGGACTCAAAGAGAAGTAAAGGAATTAGATGTTGGGGAGTTATCTTAGCTAACCAGAAATCAGAAGCCCTGAAGTAGCGGGATAAAAGTATTCCTCCCACGGAATCCTTGGTGGGTGGGGGGAAGAGGGGCTATGTGTGCCGAATTGTGAGGGTCCGACATTCCACGGTCACCCCCATAATGGGGGCTCACCTGGTAGGATGAACCGAGACCCAGCCAGAGCAGCCCCGCCCGGGCCCTGATGCTGAGGGCTGATCCCGGTGGGTGCTCGCCTCCCCGCTGGCCCACCTCACATCCATCAGCAACTTCTCCCTGGCTCCCGACTCACAACTCTAAATCACACTTCAGAGGAGGGCTAGGAAGACCTAAGCCCCAAATCCTGTCTCCAAAGCTTCTACTTCCCAGGACTGGAAAAAGTCAAAACTGATTCCAAGCTAGAAACCCAAGGAGCTTATTAGCTTTGGGCTAGCTGGTGGGTGAGACTCGGATTGGTGGAGGGAGGGAAGGTCTTGCAGCTGTTTAAAATTGCAAATCTCTTCCCCACCTCCTCACCTCCCCCTCCTCCTCAACAGGAAAGAATTTCAATTGCAAATTTATCTCTGCCTCAGTGCGTATCTCCCCCCCCCACCCGCCAACTCCCCTCCCCCACCTTTCTTCCCCGTGCCTCTCCCATCACCCACTATTTATTACAAACCTTTAACTGCAGCAATTATTTTTTTTTTCACTTTTCTCCCCTCCTTCCATTCTCCTCAGCCTCAATCTTTTCTTCTATCCCTCTCTGACTCTCTGGGTCCGTTTCTTTGCCCTTCCTACCTTGAACTCAGTTCTCACCTCTTTCTGTAGACTATACAGAACCAGGAGACAGGCCTAAAAGCCACCCCCCAACACCACCCCCAGGCCAAGAGTCTTGTTCTCCCTCAGCCCCCTGCCATTCCTCCTTTCCGTTCCAGGCTTTCCTTAAGGGCATCTCTTTTCCCTCTGGGCACATCTTAGATGTGGGGAAAGGGAGAAGGCGAGCCCTCGAAGTCCTGACATTCCTGTGCGTGGAGGAGGGGAGGAGGAAGAGGGCTGATCAGGTTGGGGGGACAGTTGAAAGGAACGACCTGGGTGGAGGCGAGGGCTGGGGCCCATGAGGAGAGGGTTTAGGGGAGACAGCAGGCAGTGGCGGCGGTGTGATTAGAACGGAGATTGATGGGAAGGGGCGCCACAGACGGCAGAGAGAGTCAATAAAACGAGAGGATCACATTAGAGGCGACAGAGAGAGCTTTAAATTACAAGGCTGCTGCCACCGAGGGGGATGGGAGGAGGCAGGCCTGGAGCCAAGGGAGGGTGGAGAGTTCTGAGGGTGTAGTCATCCCCTGAGATGAATCTTCCAGCTCCAAAATGGCCCTTAGTCTCCAGAGCTCCCTGCTGCCCCTTCATCTCACCTCCCTCCCTAATGCTTCCTTTCCTCCCGGGCTGAGACAGGGGAAGATGGTGAGGAAGCTGTGGGGAAATAGATCTTTTTGGTATTGTTCTCTTCCTCTGTCCAGAGCCAGGTCCCTGGTTATCCCTCAAGGTGAGAAGGAAAGGACGGCAGTGCTACTTTCAAATTTCAGCTTTGTTACCCCGTCAACATAATCTCTGAACTGCAATATTCTTCCACGGGACGTGGACAGAAAGGCACCCTGTAAATATCTGGACGAGAATTCCTACTTCTCAATATTGCACTTCCTGGTCTGGGGACAGATACACAATACTGAGAACAGGAAGAAGCCAGGGAACCAGGAGGCTTCAGAACAGACAGTCGGACCCAGAAAGCTACTGAGAAAGACGTCATGAGTTGGACAGAAAGGCATGGATGTGAAGTGGAAAGCTGCCAAGGCAGGCTCTGAGACCACACAAGTCAAAACACAGTGAGAGTTAAGAACCCAGAGAATTACAGGAGCTAAAAGGACCAGGGCAAAGGAAGGACCAAAGAAGTGAGGCCTGAGGAAGGAGAGAACATGCGCCTCACGGAGGGGACACTAGGCTGTCCAGTAGGACAGGTTGGCCAGCAGGATGGAGGCAGAGCTGGCCAGGGGCCCTCTCTCTGGAGCTGGAGCCCCACCAAGACCAGGACTCCCCTAGGCTGGAGCCCCCTCCCACCTCTGGCAGAGCGGGTAAGTGACACGACCGCCCCCTAGTGGTTGCAGAGGGAACAACCAAGGTGAGGACAGGTCTGCAAGGAGACAGACTGGTTTTCTCCTCCTGGTTCCCCCTCCTTAAAACAAAAACAAAACCCGCTGCTCTCCCTTCTTTTCTCCAAACCCAAGGACATGGCACAGGCTTTCCCAGCAAAGTCAGCCAGAGGGCACTGTCACGTTTGCTTACAATTTGCATACAGTAATTTCCACGTCAGAGCCCTCCAGACAGTTTTACCTTTCACTTTTCCAATAGTTCCATCTATTATCTTTCCTTGGAGCCCATTTTGGGGATCTTTTCTTTTCACTTTCTCCTCTCTGAAACCCCCGCCCCCAGCCTGCCCTCTTCCACACTCACTTTGCCCTGCCTTTCTCTCCTTGTTTGTTGCAACCTGTTGCTTTCAAGAGGCAGCTGCAGAGAGGAGGGGAAGAGAAGCAGGAAAGATGGAGTGTGTGTGCCCACATTAGGGGATCAGTTGGTTCCATAGCAAATAAACTCTAACCAGACGAGATTTCTTTTCTCAGGCAGTGGAAGAACATGGGCTATGGATTATCACAGACCCGGGTTCAGTCCCACCCCAGGTCCCCCACTCACCAGCTGTGCAACCTTGGTAAGTTACTAACTGAGTCTTGTTTCCTTATCTGGGAACTCCCTGTCCCTCACTCCCTATGCTCATACAGAAGGGTTCAGAGCTGGCTTCGTGTGGTCATCTAAGCCTGGGTCTCTCCAGTGCACCTTCAAGATCACACAGCTCCATGTTGCTGTCCTAACCCGGCTGTCGTGAAGACTAGTACGGGTAACGTGCGAGAAGGGCCCACACTGGTAGCCATCAGGTCAGTGCCTTTCCTTATCTTGGCTCTCTCCTCCTGCAGAGCAGGGCAAAACAAGATGTGTGCAAGTAGGCTGCCTCTTTCCTTCTGCTTCGCCCCTTCTCGACTGGACTCATCCTCTCATCTCTGCCCATTTCAACTGAGGGCAGATTCCTTGGGGGCAGCGTTTAAATCTAGTCTGCCCAGCAGCAGAGTTCATTTCTCACCAGGCCCTCTTGATGGCTGAGCCTAGAGACACCCCAGTATCCCGGCGCAGAGGCTGAAGTTTTGCCCAGCCTCACACTTGGATCAAAACTATTATGGCCTCTCCCTGCATTAAAATGATTACTTTCTCTGTCTCTAAATCTCACCTATATTTCAAAAGAAAACAACAAACAAAAATACTACTATTCCTCCATTTGAATTCTACCTATTTTTCCTAGAACTCTTCCCCCAAACCCAGTATCGAGGGAGTGCTTACTTTGTATAGAGAAATTTTGTCCAAAAGAGAGAAAATGAGAATGGCAGGGAATGAGACAGGCAGGAAAAAGAGTGTCAGAGAGGGTAAGACTGAAGAAGGGAGGGAGAGGGAGAGGAAGGGAGTGGGCAGGGAGCTGGGGCTTGATCTGCATATGCAAATACTGTATCTCCTTGATGCCTCCCAACTTTGGCAGCAGATTGGGCAGGTGGCCTGTCCCCAGTGAGAGGGATGGAGCAAAGAGACTATGTCTTCCACTTTACAAGATGCTTAAGGTGGGCAGGAGGGAACTTGGTGGGGTGTGAGGAGGAAGGAGAGGCTGAGAGGAAGAAGACAGGTGGGGAGGGAGTTGACAGGGCTAAAAGGGAAGCTGTGGATTAAAACTACAACCAGTGA